GTCAAAACGGATTAGTTGCGTTCTACTAAGTCACCTTGACAACAAGACCAAGTTGCGACAACGAAGCCAACCCACTTCTATAAATCGAAAGGAGACTGCGACCACACCAGAGGCCACAACATCTTGGTCTTCATATCTTCCTAACTTATATTTTTACTTTACTTTTGCTATTCTTATTACTTTGAGCCATTATTGCTGATTTCGTGCATTATTATATTCGTACATACACACAAATATCTATATATATATATATATAGAGTGAGAGAGTGAGAAAGTGAGAGAGAGAGAGAAAGAGAAAAAAGCAAAGCCAATTAGTTTTCTTGACTTCTTAACGTTGGACGATTTCTCGAGGACGGCATCATCCTGAAAGTCGTATTAAGGCCAAACGGCTGCAGTACAAAGTGAATCAGCAGTCGTCTTCTGAAATTGACCTACAAATCTCTTCTCGCACTTTCGTTTGAAATGAAAGTCTTCACGGTAGTTAAATACTTGAAAAATGGTCAGTCTTGTGCTTTTTAATCGGCCAGATGCTGCCAGGCTCGAATAATCAAGTTAAAACGGTGACTGACCCTTGCGAACATATTCCAACCTTCTTCCTATTAGAGGGGGCCTGTGGACTGACAACTACAAGCAGCATGAAAAAATACAACTATTAACCTCTTCAAAAATACCATTTGAATATTTTATTGTCTATACTTTTTATGTTGAATATCGTATTCACAACCAGAGTAACAGTTTTTCGTACCTTTTTTACTGTTATTACTCAATATTTCATGTATACTCTTTCCATTGCTTTACTTTGGATGCACCATGGATGCACCGAAGGCGGGCTATTCGTTTAGCCATGTTTACTTTGATAGCTCTGAACTTTTATAAAATACGCCATTTCTACTCATATCTTACTTTACATCAGACAATTGGAATGCTGCCATCCTCAATGTGAAGTAAGCTTAGTCGATCATGTGCAGCGTTTTGTGCAAGCATCTGGTTGCATCCAGCTCATGGTACGCCAACTCGGTCCTGATGACCCGATTCCTATAGTGGAAAAATCATATTCTGTGGAATCTGTTAACGAAGATGCCAAACGTGATGCTCTCATAACTTGGGTCTCCTGTCTGACCTGCCGATCGCGGTCTCCATTTACTCTTGTTTCTCGAGAAATGTGGCATCTCTCTTTTTTTAAATATCTTGACACTCTGCTCAACACACCGGCTTCCTGGACCTGCCGTAATACGGTGCCGCCCTTATGCAAGCATTCTGCCAATAAAGGATTGCATCACTGCTTCGCCTTAAATAAAAGGATCGTAATTTTTACGTACGTCCTGTTATTTATAATCCTCGCATTATTGAGTTTATACAATAACTTAGTTGTTATTGTTCTTAAATCAAAGAATGCCTGCCTTAAATTAGATTTTTTTAAACGAATGAATCGAGTGATACAATTTTCTGTAGAAGAATTCAACGGCTGAAATCTTGCTCTTCTAGAAGGTGTAAGAGGAGCCTTCAAGTTATTTTTGTGGCTCCCTTTGATGAGTTATAGTGCTTGGCTGACGACGTAGATAGCAAGATAAGCTAAACATTTTGATGCGTATCGATGCTGCAGGAGCACATGGCTAAAATGGTAGGGAACACGGCGAGGACTACATTCATCGAGCGTCTATTTGCCCTATTAAGTTTCATTGCTTGGTGAGGTTAGTGAACTTGATCATGATCCTTGTTATTCTGATGGAGGAGTAAATTTAGCAATAGATCACAGTTTAACGAGTTAGCCTGATGATTATTTGGCAATAAAGCATACAGAACGAAATTAAGGATAAATGTAACCGCAATTCGCGGAAACTAATTAAGCATAGTCTTCTTTCTTAGATTGAAATCACTTAGTCGGAACGAGCGACGTGACCAGGATTATTATTATACTCACAATCTAGACGAGCCTATTTTCGGAATTATCTAATCTTTTAGGACCGGCATCTGCTAATCATTACTATATCTAACAGATCCATTGGTATAAAAACCACGAATCCTATATAGCAATA